AAAGAGAAAACTCGAAACCTTGCTTAGAGTAAGTGTCCCTTATAAACAGGAATCTGTTTACACTAAAAGTAGAATTTACCTCATCAGTATTTCCTTGCACCCATTTCTTCATAGCTTGAGAGAACATGGATCCTAGTAAACAAAGCCAAAGTTGAATGTAGACCTCATGCATAATTTTACATAAAAAAATGCTGTTATTTAAACATCTATTTCCCAGCTTTTAAAAGATATTCTTTTTTTAAAGATGTATCTTTTTTAAAAGATACTATTTTGGGGGTACAACCTCACTCCCAAATTAAGGAATATTACCATTAATAAAAACTGATTATATTGGCTCCATAGCAGAATATTTAACTTGCAAATATTATGGTTTGAAAAACTTTGAAAAGCTGTTTTAGAGCTCTAGATGTTTCTTCTATTCTCCTCACTTGATGAAAGAAACTATCATCTACTGTTAAATCTGCAGTAAACATTCAAAGATCAAATAAAACCATGACCAGGATCTGGTCTTGAGATAAGAATCTAGCAATACATCAGATGTCATGTATATAAATCTTTTGGATCAGCTCCTATACAAAAGGGCTTCCAGTGCAGATTATGCTGCTATTTGCTGGATCTCTGGTCTGTGTAAATTTGCTGGGTAAGATCAGAGTTTTAAACAGCCATGCTCTGTCCAGGCCATAATACACCTCAACTTCCCAGGAGACACACAAGTCTATCTACATCTGTACTCTAGATGCTGAGGCGTCACCAAGGACGTAGGCTAGCGTCTATTTCCAGGTATAAAATACACAGCTTACCCTTTCATTAATACATATAGGCTCACATCCTAACTTTGCCTTAAACCAAGTGGTTGGTAGATTATTTCTTAGGCAAGATCCTGATTAGTTCAATGACTGGGATACGCTATAGTAAACTGTAGCATTCATGAAAAAAAACAAAACCTGGATCCTTTCCCCTTAATGTATTTTTATTTTATTTATTTTTTTAAAACAATGGCTTTTTTTAAAAAAATTATTATTACAAATTTATTATTTATTTATCTATTTATTTTTGGCTGCGTTGGGTCTTCGTTGCCATGCACGGGCTTTCTCTAGTTGCATCGAGCTGGGGCTACTCTTAATTGCGGCATGTGGGCTTCTCATTGTGGTGGCTTCTCTTGCTGCGGAGCACGGGCTGTAGGCGTGCGGGCTTCAGTAGTTGCAGCACGTGGGCTCAGCAGTTGTGGCTCGCAGGCTCTAGAGCACAGGCTCAGCAGCTGTGGCACACGGGCTCAGGTGCTCCGCGGCATGTGGGATCTTCCCGGACCAGGGCTCGAACCCGTGTCCCCTGCCTTGGCAGGCGGATTCTTAACCACTGAGCCACCAGGGAAGCCCAATGTTCTGTATTATTAGCTAAAAGTTTGAACACTGATCTAGTTAAATTTTATACCCAAGCAGAGCCAGCAGGACAACATTACATGCTCTGCCTATAGTCTCACCCCTGCCGCAATGCTCTGTCCTCGGGCTCCCCTTGCAGTCACCCTGTTGGCAGCCTACTTGTGAACACTTCCTCCTCCTCTTCTAATGCCCTGTCTTTGACTCCTGTGCATCCCTGCCCCCTTTAACAAGGAGCTTCATCAGGATTCCATTCCATTCAGCACTTTCTCTCTGGGGCATCTCATCCCCTCCTGTGGCTTTAACTTCCTTCAAAATGCAAATAACTCAAAAACTTGTCATTGGGTGTCAAACCAATACTTAAAAATTGTCCTAAGGGGCTTCCCTGGTGGTGCAGTGGTTGAGAATCTGCCTGCCAATGCAGGGGACACAGGTTCGAGCCCTGGTCTGGGAGGATCACACATGCCGCGGAGCAACTAGCCCCGTGAGCCACAATTACTGAGCCTGCGCTCTGCAACGAGAGGCCGCGATAGTGAGAGGTCGGCGCACCGCGATGAAGAATGGCCCCCTGCTTGCTGCAACTAGAGAAAGCCCTCGCACAGAAATGAAGAGCCAACACAGCCATAAATAAATAAATAAATAAAAATTAAAAAAGAAAAAGGCAAAATTCCTTTAAAAAAAACCCCAAAAAACAAAAGCTACATTCTCAAAAAAAAAAAAAAAAAAAAACTGTCCTAAGGCATCTCAAACATAACATGTTCCGAGTTGAGCTCTTCTATCTCCCATGTACTCTTTTTCTTGTAGCCTCTATCTCAGAAATTAATTTAATCCTCTATTAAAAATTAACATCATAATGCTTCATCTAGAGAACCGATATTAGAAAACTCATCTGCTTTCCTCATTTGCTCTCCGTATGAAATCTGTCACCAAATTCCACCTTGGATTTAGTCTCCTGAATTCCCCCTTGGAAGTCTTATAAATCTGACCTTCTAGTTCCTGCTACCACTACCTATCCTCGGATCCTCTTTTTCTTCTATCTACATTACTAGCAAATTATACTACCTGAATCTCTGATACCAGTCTCTCCCCAACTCCAATTCATTCGCAGACTACAGCCAGAAAAATGCATCTCACTGCCCTCTGCTTAGAAATCTCTGGTGCTCAACAGACGGTACCACAGGCTTCTTAGTATGACATGCGCGGGCTTTCACAGCGTACACGCGGCTCTACCCCCCACCACTGCACCGGTGCACGAGGAGGCTGCCACTGCAGGGACCACCTGCTCACAACATCCTCCACGATTTCTTCTTGTTACACTTTCTCCTAGATGATGCGAAGGTAACTTTTAAAATTACCTTGCTTGCCCTGAAAGCAAAGTTCTCATATTCTCAGAAGCTTCTGAGATACACCCGCCCCAAAACATAGCCCTTTCTTCTGTGCTCTACTGTCAGAGCTTTAAAATCCAAAATGAAACTACAGGTTGGTAAATGACAAACGTTCTTTGCAGCTGCCCTCAGCCAAGGAGATGAAGGGGGACGAAGCAGAGCTGAACTGCAGACAAACGTGGTATGTTCTGAACCAAAGCTCGAGGCTGCGCTCTATCTGCTCTGTGATCCATTTCCCTGACCCTCAACGTCTTCACTGGCAGAACAAGGAGGCGGCACCCACAGACGTATCATCTAAGACTCGAAGGAGCCAGGGCTTAGTCCCACCTTCTGCTCAGGTGTCTGCTCAAAATGCTACTTCCTCAGGGACAGCTTTCCTGACAACCACTCCTAAGACAGCACTACCCACCACCCTCCCAGTCCCCCACTCTGCTTATACGTCTGTGTATAAACACAGGCAGACACACACACACACACACACACACACTGTATTTATCTGTCTACTCTCCCTCCACTATAATGTTAGTTCCATGAGGGCAGGAATCTTATTTTCTTCCCAGTATTTAGAGCAGTAGATGCATATAGTAGGCACTCATATGTTAGAGTGAATGAACAAATGAATAATATGAAGAGACTGAATGAACAGAATAAGCAGAGACAGTGATTTGGGGAAAAGTTTTTTGTACATCTTACCTTCATCTTTACTCATATATCTTTAATATATCTTAATTCATATAATACAAAAACAAACTGCAAACACCCAACACCTATTCTCTGGAGCAGCAGCACCTCATGAGCTGTCAAAGGAATAAGACCAGCTTCAGAAAAAAAACCCAAACAGCTCAGAGACTCTATTATTACTGGAGACCCCATTACCGTCTCTGACAGAAGCTACCTCATGACAGTGGAGGCCTCCCTGACCGATACCTCCAGAGGTTGTCCAGCACTTTCTCTACACCTAGGCTACCACTGATCTCTTCCTAGTATTCATCTTCTACCCAATAAAGGACACTACTGGACTGCAAGTTTCTTAACAACAGGCTCTGTATCTTCTAACTGCCCCGTGAGTCTGCGTGCACGGAGGCACTCAATAATTATTTACAGAATGAGCTGTGCAGACTTCCTTCGGTCTTTACACTTTCCCAACTGTGTACATCAGACTTCTCTGGCTAAATAGGAAATAAAATCAATTTTTTGGATAAACTCATAAAGACAAATAGGTTAACAGGCCCTTTCTTGGTTTAAATTATTTCAACAATTGCTGCACTTTTTGCTTACTCTGTTAATTTATATTTGACCCCAAAGTAGATTATTCATCAACATAAAAGTGGTGCAGGGCTTCCCTGGTGGTGCAGTGGTTAAGAATCCACCAATGTGGGAGACACGGGTTCGAGCCCTGGCCCAGGAAGATCCCACATGCCACAGAACTAAGCCCATGAGCCACAACTACTGAACCTGCACTCTAGAGCCCATGAGCCACAACTACTGAAGCCCACGTGCCATAACTACTGAAGCCTGCGCGCCTAGAGCCCGTGCTCCGCAACAAGAGAAGCCACCACAATGAGAAGTCCACGCACCACAACGAAGAGTAGCCCCCGCTAGCTGCAACTAGAGAAAGCCCGCGTGGCAACGAAGACCCAACACAGCCAAAAATAAACAAACAAACAAAATCTAAAGTTAGTAACTATTAAAAAAAATGTGGTGCAAATCATTACCTAAACAATTCGTGTATTAAAAAATAAGATAAACAGGATAGAAATGCAGTTCAATTCAATAGGAAGACTGCCAATAGCGCTTAATTTTAAACACACTTATCAAAATGGAACATTTTCTTCTAACAAAAGTTAGTATCTTTTACTCAAGATAATACTGTCAATCCAATCACACTGAAAATTTTCTAGATGTTATCGAATGGACCCACAGTGGTTTCCTAAATCTTCCTGTGTAAACCAACCGTGTGGAAGCTGAGCTCAGTCACAAAGAGTATGTCTGTGTTTAACTCTTGGAATTAACCAAGCACTCTTTTGCTTTTTAAACAAAGGATTTCAATTTCAACCTATTAATATTTTCCACATATATTTCATAATAACTTTCAGCAATTTAGAGGAAATTTAGTAAAATAAAGGGTATCAAGATAAGCCTCAAGTCCAACCTGGATTGGGTATTTTGCCTTTAAATCAAAAGGTGAAGAGTATCTTTTTATGTAGATGCGCCTTCTGTAATGGTAAAGCAAGTTCAGTAACTTCTGATTCAGAGAGAGACTGTACTGAGACCTGATTACACGAAGCCCTTGCACTCGCTCCTGACTATAAACACAAGGTCAAAGAGATGGCAGTTATTTTGCAGAATAAACAGTTTAAATCTTCAATGATCCTTTACTTACAGTCAATAACTAATGTGAGTAAAGCCTTGATACAATGTATAAAAACACCACAAACCTTTCGATTTCTTTACATCAGGTTCAGGCTCAGATTCTCGGATGAACTGCCCCAAGTCACTAACTCTTCCAAATGTCATCTTCCTAAATAAGTATGAAAAGAACATACTTTCTAAAAATCAATTTAAAATATAAAAAAATTAATTTTTAAGCATCTTTTCTAGATCTAGAAAGCTAGAAATACAATTTATATCTACCCCATGTTACTCAAAGTGAGGATAATTTCAAAAAGAACTGTCCCCACAGAAAGCGATCTTTAATTCAATGCAATTCCATTCAAAATCCTCAAAAAGTTTATGAAACATGAGTTAACAGATAATTCACAGTTCTAAAATTCATACAGAAAAGGCACAAGCATAGCCAAGATAATTTTGTAAAACAAACAAAAAGGTAAGACTTGCCCTAACAAGATAAAAATATAATTATATACATTATAAAGCCATAGTAATAGAAAGCAAAGTTAAAAGCAAAGAATACAGTGAGAGGTCTTATTTTTAATAGATGGAGTAACTGATAATTAATAACCATAAACATACAGAATTCCAACAAACCACTAAGAAATTACCCAACAGAAAAATGTGAAAAAGAGATGATAGTCAATCCACAGAAGAAAAACCTGAACAACCAACAAACATGGCAAAAGAAGCTCAATCTCATAAGCAACAAACCCAGATTGGTAAAACATTTAAAGTCTGATATTATTTATTGTTGACAAGGATGTGGGGGAAATTAGTAACTTTATTAATGATTGGTAAGAATGTAAAATGTACAGATCCTTTTAAAGGTAAACTGTAAACTGGTTAAGAGCTATGAAAATTTTAAATCTGCTTCTTGGTACAAGGAAATATAAAAGGAAGTCTTTGCTATACTGTGTATCACAGTAAAATTGCAAGCCATTTAAATAACCCATTAATACCAAAACAGCCAAATAGTAACATACCACATTATGGAAGATTTTGCCACAGTTATGAGCTATAATTAATATTATTTATGGAATACTACAACGTAGTTAAAAATGAGGTAAATATGTACAGACTAACACAGAAAAATCTCCAAACTCACTATGAGTAAAAGCACAAGATACAGCACAGAGTATAACATCAGTTACATAAAAATAAGCAAACAAAAATATACACAATAACATAACAGTGATTATCCTTAGAAGGAAGGGGGGAAAATAAGTATTGGTGTGTAATCAAAGGGCACATTAGCCTTATCTGTAAATTTAATTTTTATAAGAAGAGATTAATATATTTATAATTAAAAGTTAAAAGAAGAAAAAAGAATCCTATGATGCCTATATATTACTTCATTTCTGGCAAAGTGAATCTTATTTTAGAGACAGCCTTCCTAATAAGTCATCAATGAATATATGGGTGCCAATATAGCAACTGATACAAATTTGTTTGCCTTTAGAAAAATTTCAGGAAGATGCTAAAACCATAAAACTAAAACAAACACTGAAAACTATCTCTAAAGATGGAGAAAAATAATTATTTCTCTATTTATGATCCATTTTATAAATTAAAAAATATGTATATTACACACTATATATATATTTTACAAATTTAAATTTTATAAATTAAAATACATTTATTTTACACACACAAAAAACTATAGAAGTAAAACATCTTGCAATTGATAGACTTTCTTAAGTCAGGTTTGAAATAAATGAACCAACCATTCCTTAAGAATAAATATCATCTTTGGGAATTAACTCATTTAGGCTTACTGTCCACCATTTCCTAAAATAAGAAATAAAGATTACTATAACACTGATACAGTTGAAGACAATGTGGTCAAAATAACCTTCTATTTACTTCAAAGTATTTTTCAGACTTCTTGGTCTCCCAAATATCAATTTACTTTCTGGTAAAAGCAATTAAACATGTTGAAATCCCTTTTTTATGGTACTGCCAGGACTGGGGTGTGGTAATCATGCCTTTACACAGGTTTCTGTGTTTTCAAGCCATCTTTAGGGAAGAGGAAGTCATTTTATGATTTGATCTGTGGTAAGGATCAAGAAGTGCTGTAACACAGGAATCACTGTCTTTCTGTTACAGGAAAAAATAAACAACCAAGTTAATTCTTAAATACAAAGGAATCATTTTATTCCATTTTTCCAAGTATAGTTGGTTCTCCGTATCTGCAGGTTCCACATCCACAGACTCAACCAACTGCCGACTGAAAACTTTAGGGAAAAAAAAGCCAGAAAGTTCCAAAAAGCAAAACTTGAATTTGCTGTGCATTCCAACCATTTACATAGCATTTACATTGTATTTACAACTATCTACATAGCACTGACATTTTATTAGGTATGATAAGTAATCCAGAGATGATTTATACAGGCTTAAAATATAAATACTATTTATACAGGCTTAAAATACTTAAAATACTGAGGAACTTGAGTATCCTCAGATTTTGGTATCCGAGGGGGTCCTGGAATCAATCCCCTGAAGTTACTGATGGATAACAGTAATAGTTATACAGTCCATGATGAATGATATCGGCACCTTTGTAGTTTAGTTTTGGTTTTAAGACAGAGACTTTGAAATAGCTAACATATGAATCCAATGAAATGTGGAAGAGATAGCCTAAAACACACTATGTAAACGTGACACTCGTCAGAGTCGTATATGGTGGTAGAATAATGATGTCAATGATATTTACCGAGTGTTCACTGACATCCGGCAATGTTTTAAATGCTTTTCACGTATTATCTCATTTAATCCCCTCACCAGCCCAAGGAAGCAGGCATATTATCCTCATTTTACAGATGAAAAACCTGAGACACAAAGAGGTTAGGTAGCTTGCCATAAGCGGCTGAGCCAAGATTGAAACACAGGAAGTCACTCCTGAGCCTTCACCCTTAACTATGCTCTACTGCATTGCAGGTATATTCAAGAGAGTAGAAAACAATTTTTAAATTAAAAAATAAAAAAGATGCTCACCCTGCATACGTCCGTTGATACAAAGATTCTGGATCCAGACTTGCAGCATCCACAATTATCGCTTCATCAAAATTTTTCAGAATTTTAACACTGGCTTTTTTCACACTAGACTACAACAGAAATTGTGAAATTAGTAGTATGCTATTCAGGAGTCAAATCAGTCCTGGGTTTAGAATGACAGATTCATACAAAATCTTCAGTGTTTGAAACACATGCACTTTTCACTCAACCCTGTCACTAATGAGATGTTTAACAGCGATGATTCTGAAATGTCGTCTTGAACATAACTACAGGAGGGAAGCACAATACTAAAGCGTACGACACATGCGTCTGTGTGGCAAATGTATCTTCCTTAATGACTGAAGTTCCAACAAACGTGCTTATGTTCCTAAACGTGCAAAACTCCCATTCTTCCAAGCATATGTATCTTGCCTAATAAATGTAAAGCCCAACTTTTACAGGATAAACATGAATGCTTTTGATTCTCAGTGTGGCCGTGTGACAAAAGAGAAGATAAAGGAAACTTTCTAAAATGACCAGCATTCTATCTCCTACTCCTCATGCCCACAAAAAAAAAAGCAAGTCATAATTGGTACTTCTGTGAAATACGGAGGCATGAGTTGACCCAGAAATTCCACTTCTAAAAATTCAATTATAGACAGACTCACACTTATGCAAAATGACTTATACACAGGAGTACTTATTGCAGCATTGTTTCAAGTAACAAAAGACAGGAATACATTTAACATCCATGACTAAAGCATAGGTTAAATTAAAAAAATAATTGGACACTTATAGAACACTCTATAGTAGGGGTAAAAAGGGCTCTCTTTACATGCTGAGAAGGGCACATAATTAAAAAGAAAGAGGCACCAGAATAAAAGAACAGAGAAATATTTCCATGAGGCCACTGAGGTAAGATACCAAAATGAGATATCACTAGTAAAGAAAACTACAGACCACTATCTCTCAGGAGTATAGATGCAAAATCCTCAACAAAATACTAGCAACGTATAAAAATAGTTATATACCACAACTAAGTGGAATTTATCCCAAGAATGCAAGGTTGGTTTAACATCTGATAATTAATTAATGTAATATACCGTAACAACAGAGTAAGTCCTCAAAACCCACATAATCCCCTCAATTGATACAGGAAGAGCATTTGATAAAATCCAACAGCCTTTCATGATAAAAAACATTCAACAAATTAGGAATAGTAGGGAACTTCCTCAGCTTGATAAAGAGCATTTATGAAAACCCCACACATCACAATAAATGATGAAAAACTGAAAGCTTTCTCCGAGAAATCAGGAAAAAGACAAAGATGCTCACTTTCACCACTTCTATACTGCAAGTTCTAGCCAGAGCAATTTAGCCAAGAAAAGGAAATAAAAGGCATCTAAAGTTGATAAGAAAGAAAACTATTACTATTTGCAGATGACATGATCTTACATATAGAAAATCCTAAAGAATCCACAAGAAAACTATTAGAGCTAACAAATGAATTTAGTAAAGTTGAAGGTACAAGATAAACACATGAAAAGCAGTTACATTTCTATACACTTAGTGAACAATCAGAAAATGAAATTAAGAAAACAATTTCTACTTATAATAGCATTGAAAATAATAAAATACTTGGGGATAAACTGTCTCCAGAAGATGTAAGAACTGTACACTTCAAACTACAAAACACTGCTGAAAGAAATTAAAGATGGCCTAAATAAATGGAATGATAGTCCATGTTCATGGACTGTAAGACTTAATATTGTTAAGATGGCGATACTCCCTAAAGGAATCTACAGATTCAGTGTAATCCTGACCAAACTGTTAAAGCTGATCCTAAAATTCACACGGAACTACAAGGGACCCAAATAGCCAAAACAATCTTGCAAATTAAAAAAAAAAAACAAAGAGGACACACAGCTCCCGATTTCAAAACAGAGCCTGGAAACCATAGTAATCAAAACAATGTAGCAGGGCTTCCTTGGTGGTGCAGTGGTTGACAGTCCGCCTGCCGATGCAGGGGACACGGGTTTGTGCCCCGGTCCGGGAAGATCCCACATGCCGTGGAGTGGCTGGGCCCGTGAGCCGTGGCCACTGAGCCTGCGCATCCAAAGCCTGTGCTCCACAGCAGGAGAGGCCCGTGTACCGCAAAAAAACCAAAAACCAAAAAACAAAAAAAAGCAGTGTAGCACTGGTCTAAGTACAGACACACAGATGATGGAGTAGAGCTGAGAGTCCAGAAGTAAACCCATCTATCTAAGGTCAAATGATTTTCAACAAGGGTGCCAAGATCCTTCAACGGTGAAAGAGTAGTTTCTTCAATAAATAGTGCTGAGACAACCAGATATCCACATGCCAAAGAATAAAGTTGAATCCCACTTCACATAATACATAAAACTAACTCAAAATGGATCAAAGGCCCAAAACTCTTAGAATAAAACAGGTGGGGGGCTTCCCTGGTGGTGCAGTGGTTGAGAGTCTACCTGCCGGTGCAGGGGATGTGGGTTCGTGCCCCGGTCCGGGAAGATCCCACATGCCGCGGAGTGGCTGGGCCCGTGAGCCATAGCCACTGAGCCTGCAAGTCCAGAGCCTGTGCTCCGCAATGGGAGAGGCCACAACAGTGAGAGGCCCGCGTATGGCAAAAAAAAAACCCCAAAAAACAAACAAAAAAAACAGGGGGGTATGGGGAATAACTACTTATTGGACACGAGGCTTCCATTTGGGATGATGAAACATTGTGGTGATGACTACACAATACTGTGAATATACTAATGTCACAGAATTGTGTACTTTATAATGCTTAAATTTATGTTAAGTGAATTTTACCTCAATTAAAAAAAAATTGTATTTCTAAACACGATGAACAAGTTGAATGTGAGATTGGGAAAACAATTACATTTATAATAGCATCAGAAAGAATAAAACATTTAGAAATAAACTTAAGAAAAGAAATACTGAATTATACTTGAAAATTACAAAATATTGTTAAGATGGCAATCCTTACCAAATTGATCTATGGAGTCAAAGTACTCCCTCCCTATCAGAATCCTGACTAGCTTTGTCGTAGAAATTGACAAGCTGATCCTAAAATTCACATGGAATTGCAAGGGACCGCAAACAGTCAAAACAATCTTGAAAAAGAACTAAGTTGGAGGACTCTCACTTCCTGATTTCAAAACTTATTACAAAGCAACAGTTACCAAGACTGAGTTAAACAGATATCATTCGACCCAGCAATCCTACTCCTAGGTATATACCCAAGAGGAATGAAAACCCATATCCACACAAAAATTATACAGTAGCATTGTTCATAACGGCCAAAAGGTGGAAACAACCCAAATGTCGATGAGCTGATGGATGAACAAAGTGTGGTGTGTCTACACAGTGGAATATCATTTGGCCATAAGAATGAACAAAATTCTAACATGCTAAAAACACAGATGAACCTTGAAAACATGCTAAGTGAAGGAAGCTAGTCATAAGGATCACATATCGTATGGTTCCACTTATATGAAATGTCTGGAATAGGCAATCTAGAGAGACATAAAGTTAAAGTAGATTAGCAGTAGCCTAGGGCTGGAGGATAGAGGATTAGGAGGGTGATAGTTAAAGGATACAGGGTTTCTTTCTTGGGTGAAAAAATGTTCTAAAATTGTGGTGAGAGTTTAGCAACTCTATAAACATACTAAAAAACCACTGAATTATACAGTGTAAATGGATAAATTGTATGGTATGTGAATTATATCTCAATAAGGCTCTACAAAAAAAAAAAAAAGAGAGAGAGAAAAAAGAAAAGAGGAGGATAGTGATCGGAATGGGGGACGAGAGTTTCTGACCTACTGGTAACGTGTCCTGTTTCTTGATCTGGATGCTGGCTACATGGGTTAGGTCTGCTTATCGAAATTCTTTGAGCTGTATGTAGTTATGAAATGTAGAGTTTTCTGTATATGTTATTATACTTCAACCAAAAATGTAAAAATACATTTTATGGTTAGCACCTAGACCTTTTAAGTACCTAAATAAAAACAAAGCATTCCAGCTTATAACAAAAAACGAAATGGCAACCACACTCAGCAGGTCACCTCCTACGCAACCTCAATAGAGGAAAAGCTACTGAGGACAGACAGCCTTGTTGACGGCAATAAAACTGTACTGTCTTAAAACTCAAGAAAATTTATCCAAGGCCCAGGGTCAAAAATTATTTGCCAATAGTGATGAGAAAATAATTATGCTATATTATTAAACTTATGGTAGAAGAAACTAGACAGAGAATATATTCAGGGCTCTGCCACTTACTGTGTGACTTCAATAAAATCAATTAACTTTTTACTACCTCCTTACTCTGTTCTTGGGCATAACCCACTTTGTGTGATTCTGCAGACAGTCAGAGAAGGCCTGATATGTGAAAGCACTCCAAAAAAAACAAAAAAGGTTAAGGAAATGTACAATGGCATTATAGTTCAAAATGAAACCAAAAGCTCTTCAGTGAAATATTAATAAATCTAGGAGTTCACTCAATTATTCTCTAAAAAAGCATTCCAAATTTAGTTACTAAAATTTCCCAAATAATTATACAAACAACTTTTCGGAGGCTATAAATATGTCATGTGATTTGATTATTTAAAGCAAGAGCTGGGCTTCCCTTGTGGAGCAGTGGTTAAGAATCTGCCTGCCAATGCAGAGGACACGGGTTCAAGCCCTGATATGGGAAGATCCCACATGCCACAGAGCAACTAGGTCCGTGCGCCACAACTACTGAGCCTGCGCTCTAGAGCCCAAGAGCCACAACTACTGAAGCCCGGGCGCCTAGAGCCCCTGCTCTGCAACAAGAGAAGCCACCACAATGAGAAGCCCACGCACCACAACGAAGAGTAGCCCCCGCTCACTGCAACTAGAGAAAGCCCGTGCACAGCAACAAAGACCCAACACAGCCATACATACATACATACATACATACATACATACACAATAAGTAAATAAATAAATGTTTAAAAAAATAAAGCAAGAGCTGCAGTGTCAAGCAGAATAATGGTCTGACATCTTACAATATGACACACTGTTAATCATCACAAAGACTTTGGTTAGCATATATAGTAAGTAGGCTAATTTTATCTCTCCTTTGTTTCTTCTACCACCTAAAAGCTACAAACGGGATCTGATGCTAAGATCTGAGCGAAACAATCCTGGCGCAGAGGCACAGGGGTCACTACCTGCACGGCAGAGCTGTCGGCCGCCCCGGGGTGGGAGTCCTCAGTGGGGCCGGCAGAGCCCAGAGCCGTCAGCAAGACACCTCCTCCCAGGAACTCGTCTCCACGAACCGAATGGATGAGATCATTCAAATATTTATAATAAAGGTTGCTGGACAAAAAGCCAGGCAAAAATACCTGAAGAGAGGATACAATTTATTTTAAAGTTGAAATCAAATACACTAAAACTTTATTTTACAACAAAATTTTACCTTCAATGCTACCAGTTAGCACACATGATTTTACTCCTCTTACACTCCAAGTACTAAAACTACAATGTGTACAATTTATAGATTTTTTTCCCTCAGAAAACTTGCCATGAAACTACTGAATGGACTTGATTATCTAGACTTCTTAGATACCAGGGAGGGACCTAATTTGAAGCTACATTTTTCTTGTTTGTTATAAATACTGAAGTCTTTGTGTATATACTGATTTTCACTTTTGATCTGATTTCCTTAAGATCAATTACCAGGAGTGTGATTACTAAGTTAACTGATATGAACATTTTAGCTTTGGTAAATGTGGAGGATGCATCACTAGCATCATCAAGGCATCTGTTCTGACTTGGGCTTCCCAACACTGGGTTCTGCCTTTTCAAATAGTTGTTAAATAAATGTCTAATGGTACATGGATACTTTTATTTCCATTTAAAAATTATTAATGATGTTAAGCTCCCATCTTTATTATTGGCATTTCCTATTACCAACTTTTCCTTCACAGCATTTAGCACAACTGTAAATATTTATGTCTGTGTTTAATATGTGCTCTCCTTATAGACAGAGCTCCAGGAGGGCAGAAGCTATGTTTCTTTTTTTGTTTACCCCATAACAACAATACCTAGCAGAGAAATACTCAAAGTATTAGGGAACGAAGCATACATATCTTTTTACCATGTACCTACTTGATAGTACTCTTAAAAATTAAAATTAGTATAAGTTCCCTAGATACACAGTTAGTAAGAAATATTTTTACATTTTGTTTTTCTCTGTATTTTAACTTTATTACCCAGAAAGTTTACATTCTTTATATGATACATATCTTGAACTTTTCCTTTAAGATCAGAAAATTTTAATTTTAATCATGAAAAAATGATCGACCTTGGACAATAGCCGATAGTCTATCCAGTTTACTACCAGCCTTTCAACGATTTTATTTTTATTTTTTTGCGGTACGCGGGCCTCTCACTGTTGTGGCCTCTCCCGTTGCGGAGCACAGGCTCCGGATGCGCAGGCTCAGCGGCCATGGCCAGCCGCTCCGCGGCATGTGGGATCTTCCCGGACCGGGGCACGCCCTGCATCGGCAGGCGGACTCTCAACCACTGTGCCACCAGGGAAGCCCCGATTTGATGTTTATATGATACTCCTCCATATTCCTGAAATTCAGTTTTTATGTGTGGTATCATGTGGCAGTGCTTACTTAATCCCTTTCCACCTAGATGCACATGACACATATGAGCAAAATTACCTCATGGGCTTCTCCTGGGCTCTCGCAATTCCTAGTAAAATCTGCTTTAGTTCATCAGAAGAACAACTGATTCACAAATTCCAACACTTCATTAAGCAGCTATTAGTGATACTCTGTAAGTGATCATGATACAGAAAACTAGTGCTCCAACCCTGTTGGAGAGTTTTGGTGAAATATTTGGATCATCCATCCCTAAGCTAACTTTGCTCAATACTAATTACCTAAAAGATGTTATAATAACAGTAATAATAGCAGTTAACATTTTTTAACGCTTACGTTACTAATAAGCACTCTCCACGTCGTACCTCATTTTTATCCTCAAAATAACTCTAAGTATCTGTATCAGCCCCATTTCAGAGAGGTGGAACACGGCATTGAAGGACTTCAGCAGCTGCCTGCAGTCACTCAGCCTACGAAGGTTAAGATGAATACATACCAAGCAGACTCAAAGCCCCCGCTCTCATCACTGCCGCACTGCTTCCACTTTCCACTGTTCTGCTCTGTTTGCTTTTTCCCATGTTCTACTTTCTGAGTTCCACCAGTTAAAAACTTCTTGTAGTTTAACACTTTTCAAGTTTTGGTTACCTTCTCCATGGTTGTCCAGGCCTGACGTAACGGAGTGGTGAAACAGTTAGGGAGCGGCCCACCTTCCCTGCAGATGTTGGATTCAATTTCCAGTCGTACAACATCGTCGAATCCAAGAGGATGTGTGGCCTGGAGGGAGAAGTACCTATGCAGAAAGACAGCCAAAGTAAACGCCAACTTCACAGCAATCATAAACAACTTCTGGCACCTACATCAGAGAACCTTCTATGAGGCTCCTGCAGACCTAGGACTATAGAGCTGGGTTGATGACAGCCCTGCTGCAACCTGTATTCCCACTGCTGAAGAGATATCTGAGCCAATGTGCCCCTCCCTATCTGCCTGCCACCATCTTCGGTTCTTGTTTAAGATTTTCCAGGTCAGGTTACAACTGAGGCGAAGAAACCAATTGCACACGTTTAATGGGCACCTAGTCTCTGTTCAGTGCTTGGAAGAAAGAAACAAATTTAAAACAGGGTAAGACGTGGACATGTCCCCTGAAAAGAGAACAGAAAAGATCTCTGTACAGGGTACAAAGGAGAACATACCAGCATAACTATGTGGCATACATAACATACATGTAGGAATTCAAAACAAAATAGCATTGAGGGTGAAGTGGATGAATTTGATGTATTTAGGTAGAATAACAGGATTTGCTAATGATTTGGTGTAGAAAGGAAAAGGAGTAATCAATGATAACTCAAAGATTTCTAAATTCACAGGATATAATGTAACTGGTGTTTTGGTAAACTGGTTATAAACTGAATACAAAAAAAGCATTAAAAGCAGAAAAACATATATGTTGTCTTTTGAGCATTCTGCGGCTTCTAACTCCTGTGCATGACACAAATACAGACAGGCTGATGAGGCATGATGTTAAAAAGTAAAGACAGAAAAACAAATAAGCAGGAGCTGGTAAAATGACAGTGCCGGGAGGATGTCACACAGTAATCTTCATTTAAAAATGGCTCCCAATTTGAAAATGGGATCCAGTGGGAAAACAGGGTCTCTGCTCTGCATGGCACTGAGCTCCAGCCAGGACCTTACTACTGCCACTCTTCTATTCCAGCAGGAGAAAACTCTTCTTTTTTCTTGTTATCAGTATTTTCTTAACAAAAAGTGAGTCTCCCATCATGCAACAACTAAGTTGGCAAATATTCCTCCACGATTTGAAATTTGGGGCACCCCAGACCTTTTTTTTGGGGCTGTGTTGCGCGGCTTGTGGGATCTTAGTTCCCCAACCAGGGATTGAACCCAGGCCCCGGCAGTGAAAGCATGCAGTCCTAACCACTGGACCACCAGGGAACTCCCTCAAATTTCTAAAGGTAAATGCTTGCTACATTAACATCCATATAACAATGTTTCTTATATAATATTTTCCCACAAATATATTGCACAAAAATAAACACTGGACAAACATTAGAATTGCATCCAAGTTCTGCCACTAATTTGCCCTGTGACTTGGAGAAAGTCACTACCCCTGCAAGCCTTAGTTTTTCTCATCTGCAAAATGTGAAAAATCAGACCAGCTCCCTAATCTGGCTATTCATCAGAATCAGATTCCTGGGTCACACCTCAAACCTGCTGAATCAGAATCTCTTAGAGAAGATGACTCGAAACCTATTTTTGACAAGCTCCCAGGTGACTCTCATGTTGACAGGAGCACGGACCAGCCCGGTGATGCTTGGGAGCCACTGACCTAGATGCTCTCAGCTCTCTCCCAACCCTAATATCCCCATGGATTTTTCTCTGCCTCTCAAGTTATCTTCTTAGCAAGTGCTCACAGATACAAATAACACATTTCTTTATAGAACAAGAAAAGTTAGATGAAAGGGGGGACAGACACAGTTTTCAATTCTGTTCACTAAGATAGTGCTGCCCTCTCATTTTCAGTGAAAACTAATGAATAACTACTCTTCACCAAGTAGTTAATCTGGCTGAGCAGACTTGCACCAGAAAACATGGTATACCCACACAGACATTTAAGACCCTTTGCAATAGATTCCAGCTAGTTTCATCTTCTCCTGTTCCCTTGACCAAGTGTCAATTACGCAAAGTTTCTATGGCGCTGCTCGTACCGATGACTCTGCCAAGAGTGTCCTTCCCCGCTAGCAGAATTCAATCCATTCTTCAGTCGCCAATCAAATCTCCCTTCTGTGAAGCCCTCAGTGACCTCCACCAACATCGTCTTGCTTGCCACACACAAGCCTCCCCCTGCCCTGCCAGCAACTTATTCTAAGAACCCCCTGCTCTGAATGCACCAATGAAAAGCAGCTATTATGCGGCTCCCTGTGAGCTCCCTGGCGGCAGAGACCAAGGTGACTTCTGAAATACGCTTCAAGTACTCAATATTCGCAGAAAGCTGGATGTGTCTATCACTAAGACTCACTTGTCATATAAAATCATGGCGTCGTTCTGTGCCTCCTGCCCATCATACTGGCCCTTTTTGGCGGCAAGCTGAGACTGGAAGTTGTCTGCTGCCAACCAGAACTGTAGGATATTCACTGCGTCCTCTTTCTCCATGTACTGGGAAGGAAAAACACAAAAGAGGAAAATCAGGCTATACACAGATTTCTCTCACTATCTCTCGTCTATATCTAAGTTCCAACTATTAAAATACAGGACATAAAGGAAAAAAAAAACCCACAAAAGAAACCCCCCCACCCCAAAACAGATCCACTTGTTCAGTTAATGCCAGTCTGCAACTTACAGTCATTTGAGATTGAATAATTTTTAAATATTCTTTTAGGGGGAGAAAAACCAAAAAAACCCTAACAACAACAACAAAAAGCAACCACTACACAGCTGAACGCAAACTTTAGTGAACTGGAGTAAAAATTAAAGATGGATTAGTGGTTTCTCGCTGGCAAACATACAAAAGGTAAACCAACCAGACCAAATCTTTTATACCTGATCATTTCCACCACTCCACGCGGCCATACTAACCTGAACAAATGCTGACTTAAACTTAAGGCAAAGAGAGGGAGTGAAAACACAAATCAGCTGAATAACTGTATCCTTGTCAAGAGGCAGGATGCAAGTGTGAGTCTAAGTTACTGCTTGTGAGACTGGGAATCCTCTTATCTCGACTTAATAGTCATTTGCTTTGCAACAAAAGAATTTCATTTGATGAAGCCTAATAAATCCCATCACTCTACACTGTATGCCTCAAAGAGATGAATATATACTCATTGCTTCTGGCAAATGCTTCAGTCCGATCAAGGGCAATCCTATCAAGTGGCTAAAGTAAAATGAAGACAGTAGGAAAAAATTTACTTTTCCTTCTCTCTTCTAAAGTCTGCTCTGCAAACACTTATGCACTGGAATCAAGTATCAAATTTCGTGGTTTTAAAACAGCTCTAAATAACTAAAAATCTGCATTCTCTTAGAAGCAGTTTAATTAGGTTTTTCAAAATTAGAGTTACTTTACTTTGAATTTTCATGTTCTCTTTAATCTAATGCCATTCAAGTACTCTTGCCATTAGATACAACTTAAAACAGTAATCACAGTACTTAAATCCACCTGATCAGTTTGGAAATGATTTGTGTCTTCTATGTTATTTCCTATAGACAGGGCCCAGCACGTACAGCTCAGAGGCTGGAATGCTCTAACAGAGTGTGAAAGGAAATGCAGACTTTACCTCAGAGAAATAAAAGAGGGCTGACTCACAGAAGAGAATGTCAGCCAGGTAAACAGTTCCACTGGTCAGCACTTCAATCTGGTATTTACAGAAATGGTGACTTCGTAGAAATTCACTAAAGTGCCTGCACGTGGACAAAAAAGTAAAGTTTGAGGGATCGACCAAGGAAAGGGCTCAGCTGGGAAGAACACCCTCTTTCCCCACTGTGCCTACCGCATCTTAACGGCCTAGGTCAACGTGACCTCCCTTCCCATGGCGCCTTCCTGATTCTTCTCCCTGTAAGTAATCTCTCCCACCTCTTAATGACGCGCAGCTCTCCTCTGATAGCTAACTCACGCTACCTCATATTACAGTAAGCAAAGAACATGCCCTATTTCTCTTATTAGGCTGTAATTTCCTTCAAAGCAGGCACGACATCCAAACTGTGCATAGCACCCTTTTCATAAATGTTAAATGAAAGAATGAATATGGAGTTTTTTTTGAGGGCATGCAGCAATAATTAATCTAAGAAAACTGTGGAGGCAGTTTCAACAAATCTATGTGGATTTAGTAATATGGCATCCATTAAGCTTAAAGCATGCACTAACAAATCAGGATATCCACCTGAAGACATGCATTGTTTAAATAGATAAACCAATTACTATAACACACTACAGTCACAATCACCCCTAAGGACTTTGGAATTAAAAATAAATTCTTTTAACTTAGGAAATACTAACATTAAAAATAAAAATCTGTTTTATTTTTAATAGAACTCACACAATTTATATTTAAAAGAAACCATTACCCAAGATAGTCTTAGGAAATGTCTATAAGATCCTGTAAACATTCAAAGTATTTAAATCCTCAAAGATAGTTTGGTTTTAGTTATTCCTGAGGCTGAACCCGAACTACCCAGAATGCACAACGTGGAAATATGAAACCGACGTACTCGTGCTCCATTGCACTGAAGACTATGGACTGTGCTGAGACAAAACAGTTGGGATCCACCTGCCCATCTTCTCCACAAATCTTTGCTGTAAAAGAAATGGTAAATAATTTTTCTCTAAATCCAAACTATACACATTTGTAAATCAAAGTAAGAAGTACCTGTAAAGGCATAAAGATGAGCAGGTTTTAAATGGAATTAAGAGAAAATACAGGTGAACAGCTGAATTTGAGGTAGGGAAGGTCTTTCTAAGCATAAATGGAAAAGCACAAATCAAGAGTCAACAATATAAAATTAATTTCTATACCTTAAAACACCCCCGAAACAAAATAAAAGGGTAAACTGGAGGGAAAAATTTGCAGCATATATGACAGTTTATGAATGACGGATTATTTTCATTCATGTATCAAGAGCTCTTACAAACTAACAAGAAAGTTTTGAGAGAAAAATGGACACGAAGAAAAATTCACTAAAGAACAAATATAAAATGGCCAATATAAAAAGATATGCGTGCTCACTAGTAACAAAGTAAATATAATTATAGATTAGAAGGAGGAGGCACACCACCTTCTGTCTAGTAGCTTGGCACAAAATTGTTTTAACAATCCATAAGCTTACTTGTTTAATGATACATATGCTTGGGCAAGGGCATGGGAAAACTGACACTTGTGTTAGTGGGCATATAAATGGGTATATCTTTTTATGGGGGGCAATCTGGCAGTTTCTAGCATAAGCTTTAAAAATGAACATACCCTTGCAATCAGCAATTCTATCTCTAGGGTTGTAACCTAAGGAACTATGGATTTGTGAAAGAATTATGTTTATCAAAATGTTACTTGGTAGAAATTTTAAAACATAAAATGGGCTAAAATTAGGAGCTGCCTAAATAAACTGCAACAAATCAATAAGCTGTTTACTAGCTAGCTCTTAAACATGGCTGGAAAAACCCCACCATGATGGCTGGTTTCACTTCAAGTTCAGGACCTTAGTGGGCCCTTCATGAAACCCAAGGATCGTGCTACAGTTACCTGGTCCATTACAGCACACCTCCTCTCTCTGTAGACGTCTTAGCGCCTCTTGCTCTACCCTCTTTGCTGATGACTTGGAAAACAAGCAATCAGAAAACAAATTCCATCCACTCCCCCCACCTCTACCAACCTGCCCGCATCACTGACTCTGCAATCTCTCTTGCCACTACAGATGAACTGTCCTCGCTCCTACCTGGAAATCTCTAGGAGCACCGGGTCCCACCCTCTCTTACCTCCTCAAGGCACGTCTTCTACAGCAACTGCCTGCCCCCTCTCCCTACTGTACAAACTTCCTCCTACTGCCTCATTCTCACCAGCTATGAACTGTTTGTATGTTATACATATATATGTGTTTGTACACTGTCATGCACCTTACATGCTGTGACACGTCACCTTAAAAACAAAACCCCAAACCACTGTCCCTTGACTAACACACCCTGCCAGCTCACCTTTGAGTAAAATGCCTCTAACAGTTGCCATACTTGCTGTCTCCGCTCCTCCTACTCGCTTTTAAGACGCCTCCAGTTAAGTTTTGTCCCTAATGGTCCACTGTCACTAAGACGCCCACCACTGCCAAGTCCATCCCATTCCTGGTATTCACCTCACTTAACCTATCAGCACGAACTGCCATCTTTGATCACTCCCTTCCTCCCAGAATGAGTTTTTCACTTGGCTTCCAGAAAAAACTGCTCTCTTGATACACAGCTGATGCAGGAAGGCCTCCACTACTGGCTGTTTCTTCCAGATGTTAGACCTGCCACAGCACCCAGTCCTCAGACCTTGCGTCCTCACTCACCACACTCCTCCCAGGTATGTTACTCAGTTTCATGGCCCTAAACCCAACCATAGGCTGATCACTTCCAAACATACATCTCCAACCCGGACCTCTCTCACGAGCTCCTAACGTTAACATCCAACTGCCCACTTGGTGCTCAGCATTTGGATGTCTGAGACCCAAACTCCCGATGTTCCCCGTCAGCCATTTCTCCTGCATCTTCTTCATCTTACAAATACTCCCCCAGGTATATGCAGGTTTTAAAAAAACGAAGTCGGGGCTCCCCTGGTGGGGCAGTAGTTGAGAATCCGCCTGCCAATGCAGGGGACACAGGTTAGAGCCCTGGTCCGGGAAGATCCCAAATGCCACAGAGCAACTAAGCCCGTGAGCCACAACTACTGAGCCTGCGCTCTAGAGCCCGTGCTCTGCAACAAGAGAAGCTGCCACGATGAGAAGCCCACGCACCACAACCAAGAGTAGCCCCTGCTAGACGCAACTAGAGAGCTGGCGCTCAGCAACGAAGACCCAACGCAGCAATCAACCAATCAATCAATAAAAATAAAACTATAAAACTTCTAAAAAATATATTGTTAAAAAAAAAAAAATGAAGTCATGCTTGATTCCTTTCTTCCTCTCACACCACTCACTTCCAAACCATCAGCACATTCTGTCAACTGTACCTCCACAATATTTTAAAAATTCCACCACTTCAAGGATTTGTGGAAGATGGAACAAGCAGTGGAAGCACAGTTTTGAGGTCAATCTAATTCCCCACATAAAAACAAAGAAATTAAATAGCAACACCAAAAACCCAGAGATAACATCTACAACAAAACCAGGCAGGTGGGATACACAATAAAAGCTTAAGTGGAGGCTTCTTCAAACTATAACTTACTTGAAGTACAGCTAAACTAAAATATTCCAGCTTGAAGAGGAGACAAATAATTAGGGCAGGATTCAAAAGAATGAGGCCCAAAGAGGACAAGTGAGTGGTCTAAAGACATAGAGGTAATTAACATTTTAAAACGCATAGTAATACACACTGGAATGGAAACTTCTTGATCATTAAATGTTATCAACTTGATCCTTCAGATTTTTCCCCTCATGGGATTACATCGTTAATTTGATAAAGTTTAAGGAAAGGAAAATTAGAACTGCAGTGACACTTCATTTTAAAATGTCTGACTCAAAACTCTCTCCTTTTCTCACCTACCCCAGACAGTTTAGTTATCAATTGGTACAAACACCCAGCGGAATTACCAGCCAACCAATTCCTCAAATAGCCAAATGCTAATCTGTTCGGACACCTAACAGTTATTATTAGGCACAGTTGGTCTAGGAAAGTCTAAAAAATGGTAGCAACAAATTTTCAGACAGAAATAGAGGAACTACAAAGAAAACCCA